GTGGAAATAGCAGCCTTTGGATGGCATTTTAGCTTTCTCTGCTATAACATCACAGCACCTCTGGCCACGCCCCTTTGCTGTGCAGGGTGTAGGTGTGTGACCTGAAGCGCTTGTAATCTCACTAGCCCGGATGTCTTTTTTGTAGTCCTCAAACTTCGTTGCTTTGTAAAAGGCAATTTCTCCCTTTGCATTGAACTTTGAACGCCTTACATTCAGAGATGTTTTTTATGTTCACACAGCTACATTACACATCAACTAAAGTTTAAAATACGATATGAACAGTGGAATATGATATGAATGATAACATGAATAAAATATGATATGAAGTGGACCACCCTTTTAAATATAGGGCTTGTTGCAAAAATAGCTTAGACTGGTCTTGAAAAGTTAGTCACCAATATATTCTTCGGCAAATCTGACTATAACCTTTTACTTTTTAACTAATTACCACTTTGCTAACTGCTAGTTGGTCAAACTAGGTCATAAGATAGAGTCTTAACATGGTGTCTGTGTTTGTGCAACTGGCCCCTGCTGTACTTGGTTAAATAAGTTAATGTGGTCTTTTTCAGCGCTGGAGAGTAGATTGTTGAATCATATCTGTGAGCATGACAATGGAAAGGTCTTCAGCTCGAGTGGCAAAACAATCCATCCTTTTGGACCTGATCCTGTTCCAGACAGAACTGAGCCTCCCACCAGTGATTATTTCATCACAGAGGGCAAAGAGGTCATTCATCAAACTTCTACAATTGACACAATAAATTGCAATCTAGGAAAAAAAAGTAACTATAATAAGTTGATAACAAATTTCTCTTCATCACAGGATACACCTCCAATAGACTTTGAGACTTTGCCCCAGCAACCTGAAGACTATGATGACATTCATATTGACACTAGCTATTTTGATGGCTCTGTCAACGAGATTCCTTGGGTGACAGAGACCCCAGACGGAAATAAGACAAGACAACAGTCGTCCATCTCAGTAGTAGGACCTCAGACACCAATTAACTGGCACCATGTTCAAGAAAGCAGTCCACCTCCAAAAACTCTACAGCCACCTCACCCTGACAACTCGCTGAAACGTAAGCACACTTATATTGTCTGGGTTATGCATTGCTTCCAATGAGTGGCATGGTAGAGTTTAGTACAATACAGATTGGTATTGGTAACTTTGATCAGTCTTGCATTTTCACAGGCAACAATATTCTTACATGATAGGCATAGTCGGTGACAGAAACTTTTGATTGACATTTCCCGTGCAAAGAAATCCACAGGGGCTATTGACATATCTGTTGCAAGCTCAAGTTATTTATTTCAAATGTAGATGTGTGGCAAACACATGCAAATAGAGAGAGGAAATAGCACCACTCATGCTTTCCGCACATTTTAGATGGCCTTGTAAACAACAATAGTGGACATACAGCCAGAGGCGGACTTAACCAATAAGCAAGGTAAGCAGCCACTTAGGCCCCCAGGAAATTAGGGTAGCACAAACGCCTCACAGCAAGAAGGTCGCTGGTTTGAGCCCTGGCTGGGTCAGTTGGCATTTCTATGTGGAGTTTGCATGTTCTCCCCATGTTGGCGTGAGTTTCCACCGGGTTCAAAGAAATGCAGTTTAGGTGAATTGTTTAAGCTAAATTGTCCATAGTGTATGTGTGTTTATGAGTGTGCATGAATGTTTCCCAGTGATGGGTTGCAGGTAGACGGGCATCCGCTGCGTAAAACATATGCTGGATAAGTTGGCAGTTTATTCCGCTGTGGTGACCACTGATTAATAAAAAAACTAAGCAAAAAAAAAAAAGAATGAATGAATTTTGTAAATCTGTAGTTTTTCAAAGGGCTAGAGTTTAGGTAGTAGTTAGGTAATACATGCTTTAGTGAGAGATATTTGAGGATATTTAGTAACTATTTTAGAGTTTACTGCAGGTCAAACTATACAAAGTATGTGTCTAAGATTTCTTTTTGTAGGTCACATGCAAATATAAACACTTATTTTACAAGAAACATGTTTTGTGAGTACTTAGGATGTCTATCGGTGCTCTAGAACTGCCAGTGTGTAACCATCTTCGATGTAACCGAAGGGGCAAAAATGTTTGCACATGTATTTGAAAACGTAACATTCTGTATTGCATTTAGTTATTGTTTAGGTCAATTTGTGAGTTCAGTCATCATACAGTCCAGTCTCATTCTTCTACTCATCAGTGAAATTCAGTGTAAACAGTCTTTCGTCATTCCAATTTTTCAATTCCAATTTGTTTCCAATGTGCAGCCAATCAAATCAACCAAATGCAATGCTAATATCCACCTTTTTGTCTGCCAAACCAGCTTACACACTGCTCAGCTTAAAGTGGTAACATACAAATCGATTGCAAATCTGTTGCAAATCATGTGTAATATGGATGCTAGGAAAGGGTTAGTTCACCCAAAAAATTGTTTACTCAGACCCTCTCACAGTTTGGATTAGATTGCTCTATTTAGATGTAAATCTTATAATAAATCTTTAAAATTTCATTATAAAAGTAATGTGTTCAGCCAAACCCTACATTTATAAAGCAAATACTTAACCTTGAAAGGACTAATCTGTGGTGACTTTTTGGGCATTCACATTCAATTCAGGCTGAAACCTGGGGGCTGTTCCATAAACAAAGCTGAGAGAGAAAATGAAAGTTGTTTTTAAGTGGCAGATTGTGTATCATAAATCCCATTTACTCACATTTACATAAGTCAAACTCAGCTACTCTTGCAACTTATGCTAGGAAACTAGCCTGGTCCGGGGCAGGTAGCTCTCAGGCTAAGTCTTAAGTTCATGCTTAAAGTAATGTTAACATTCGCCTGCTGTAAATTGATGCAATTTTACTACATCTAACCTCTTAATAATGATTAAAACTTTATAGCCACTTAATAGTAAATATATATACACCAAATATCCTTTAGAATAGAACAATATTACATTTAAATTCAAACAAGTTATTCCAAAAGAAACAAATACAAACTACAACATTTCAACTGAATTTGTATATATATTTTTAATGTTTATGTTGATTTTTTTTTCTGTTTATTACGATTTTACTTAATATTTTCCCTCAATATATTCATTTGGGTGTACAAATTTTTTGACTGTGATCTTCAGTTTATTTTTTGTTAGATTAGTTCCAAATGTTGCTTTGGTTCTGAATAATCTGATGTATATGCACAAACATATCATTGTAAAGCATCCTGAAGAGAATATTAATTTAAAAGAGAGATCTGTGAGGGGTGTACTTGGCTATATATGTAGTATTCAAAATTTAATAAAGAAAATAATATTAGGAAATAAAATATAAAGAAGTACTGATATGATTTGAAGTAGTTCAAATGTATTGTTGTTGTTTTTCAGATGTAGGCTGTGGCCAGGGATTGGACCCGGGGCCCTGTAGGGAATACAGTGTGATGTGGTACTACGACCCGCAGGCCAATGCATGTGCACAGTTTTGGTACGGTGGCTGCCAAGGCAATAGCAACCGCTTTGAAACAGAGGACATTTGTAAAAGCACTTGTGTGCAGACATAACACACTCTGACAATGAAGCATCATTCAGCAGATTGTGTTTTTTATCAAGCTGTATCAGTCATGCACTATGCAGGTGTTTTATTATTATTATTATAGTAAAGGTTTTTATGAGAACAGTAAAACTGTAGATCAGATTTGCCTGCATTATAGTGGCCAACACTTACAGTAATTATTGACTAGACTTAGCACTGCTACATTTTTTAGAGAATAACTTGCATATTCAAAGCACCACATTTATATATTTTCTATTCACACTGAATATTTTATTTTTTGTGAATTTCTTACTTTTTAATGGGGTATATGCACTCAGACTTTTATTTTCAGCCAGCCAGCCTCAGTGATTTCGGTGAACTGTCCTTTCATTATAAACAGGCCACGTTTAAGGTCTGATTTCTTTTAAAATCAATGACTGGCAAAGAAGCACTGCATTAAATTCCATTTCCTCCCACCATGTCTTTACAGTTTATTTTACCTCGGTATTTTCAGAGGAGTTTCTGCTCTCGCCTACTGATTCTGATGGTGCTGCTAGCGGTCTTTTGTCTTGTTTTACACTTGAACAAGTATGAATGCTTAAGTCTATTTAACTGAATGTATTTTAGTGGCTTTGCAACATCGATGCTGTAAAAAGAACGTTAAGAAATAGAAAATAATCACATTAAGCTTTCACCGGAAGTCTATCATTAGCTGAAAAACACTAGCTGTGCATATAGCCCATTGTTCCTTCCATAGAAATAGTATTTTCTGTACGTTGCATCCAGTATTGTAAATATTTGTATTTGTATTTTTGATAATGCCTACCGGTGCTCAAATAGGAAATAATGGTGCTGGAAATCCCCCTTATTTTCACAAAGTAAATAAATATGCTTGAATTTATATGCAGTTTTTAACATATTTGCTGAATTTGGGATCATTGTTTGAGTCTGACTTCAAAATAAATGTCTATATTTTTGTGGATAAAAAAAATGATTTGTATAAAATCAAACTGTAATGTGCAAATGTATACTTCTAGAAATTGATAAATATTTTTTTTTACTGTAATGAACGGAACAATGAACAAAAATGACCTAAAACAAATTCAAGATAAGTGGGTAAAGTGAAATGAGAAAACCAAATGGAAAGCATCAGATTGCAGTTTTACATTTAGATCTGTGCATAGGCCAACGGCAGAGACTGTGCAAACTCTCTCATCATAAACATATTTATATAGAATTATCTGTTAAATATACAGTATTTATGTTTAAGTTGTAATATATTGTATGATTAGAAGCATTTCGTTTCAAAGATGCTTATCCAAGATGCTCGTTCATGTTTCCTTATCAGTGAACTAATAAACTCACTTCACATACTCATTTACTTTAAAGCTCTTAATTACTAAAGCTTTATCTGTCTTATTTTTGTCTTTAATCCAATCACTGTGTTCTGAACAAAATGCTTTGGAAAATAAAGTCTGCAACTTTGTACAACTTGTTTTATTATGTATTATAAAACAATAAATACAACATTTATGATTTACTACAGTAAAGTAATGTTCAATAAATATATTCTTAATTTTCACTAGTCATGGCGTCTTATGTTTGGATTCATTTCAGTTCATCTGGATTGAATCTGTATTTGTATCCATACGGGCGTAAATGATATGTGTAGTACTCCAATGTGTGCATTTCCACTGCGTTTATGTAATGGAATGAGATGGCAAAATCTGAGCAGCATCCCGGACCCTAAAACACAAAAACAGAAAAATAAATTCTATAAAAAGACCAATGAAACAAATTACAGCTTTGAATTATTTTCATTTACTTTAAGCTTCTCTCCTTCTCTGTCTTAATTCAATTAAAAATCATATATACAGTTGAAGTCATGTTAACTCCACTGAATTGTTAATTTCTTTCCCCAATTTCTGTTTAACAAAGAGAAGGTTTTTTCAACACATTTCTAAACAGTTTTATACAAATGAGTTTTAATAACTCATTTCTAATAACTGATTTATTTTATCTTGCCTTGATGACAGTACATAATATTTGAGTAGATCATTTTCAAGACACTTCTATACAGCTTAAATTGACATTGAAAAAAAAAAATGCTTAAAGGGGCTAATAGTTTTGACCTTAAAATGTTTTTTGTTTTTTTTACATTAAAAATTCTTTTATTCTTGCCAAAAAAAATTTTCCTTGCTCTGTTAAACCTCATTTGGGAAATATTTTAGAAAGAAAAAAAATTCAACGGGGGCTAATAATTCTGACTTCAACTATTTCTGATGCTAATGTGAATGTTGAAAGAGGTATTTGATTTTCGTTTCAAGAGTGCTGACCATTCATTTGTGATTTTATTGTGATAATAGTGAATAGACGTAGCGTCACTCATTACATGTTCCTGGATCAACATCCTTGTTTACCCTAGAAAAATATTAACATGGACAATTTCCATTTACGTGATATGGCTTATTCTAGTTAAAAACGGAAGCAAACAGCCGGACACACTGTGCTTCTCCCATGCAATATTTGCATAATAATCACAGATTAGATCAGTTTCAAACCATCACTCAATACTTGAGCACGGTATTGCTTAATAAAGTTCTACATAGGTCTAAAGGTCACACTTTATTTTCATGGACTGTTTGTTGATTTTAATTACATTGCATCTACACGCCAACTAATTCTCATTAGATTATAGACTGTTAGGTTCAGGTTAGAGTTCATGCAAAGTGTCTTATAGTCAGTTAAACATCTGTTGAAGGAGCAGTATCAACAAATATTAAGCAGACAGTGTACTAATACTTAAATGGACCATCAAAATAAAGTATTACCTCTATTAATTATAATAATAAACCAATAAAATGACAAAAAAAGTGTCAAACTATTATCCAATTTCGATTTCATTGTGTTGTACTTTATTCATGTACAGGCACTTTAACCTCACTGTTAAATAGTACAATAGTACACCGTTACTAAAATACACCAAACAATAAAGATTAAAATTAGATAATAGTTTATAAACACCTTTTTTTGAGAAATAATGAAATCTTTATTTTACAACAGTTAACAACAAACGTTTCTGAAGCTTACAGTTGATAAAAATGAATAGTAAGTGCTTGCCGAAAGATTCAGGTCTCTTGATACTTGTTTTAGTACTGCATATTCAGATACATAATGCTATCAGTTAAATGGCTTAAATTTCATTAACAAATACTCTCTCTCTCTCTCTCTCTCTCTCTCTCTCTCTCTCTCTCTCTGCCTACCTACTTTATGAAGTATGCAAGTCTTATTTTCCTCTGAATTGAAATTAGCGCCAACGCCATATCATCTTACACATCCCTGTTAAAGCTGTGTATATAATAGTCTAAGCTTACGTTGTTTATTTAGGCTTATAGTCATTCTTGTTCAGCATAATAGAACGCGCTGAATGAAATGTGTAACTATATGTAGACATAAGAATCATTTGTATATTTGACAAATATCAGAATCTTATATGAGATAAACTTCACAAGTACTTCAGGAAGTTGAAATTATCCAACCTTTAAACATTGGAATCACTTATTTACCTCTTATTTCAGGGGTAAATTATAATTGGTGTTAGGTATAGGTGGAAGCTATTCAGTTAGCACAGTATTTTTTGTTTCAAAAATATTACTGGAACTGCTTAATGTTGTACAACTTGTTTTACATGGATTTCATATCATGCTAATATCTGATTCTATTTTGCATTATTTGATTTTATTTTATTTTTAAAGTTGCTTTGAAACTGCTGGCTTAGATTCAAGCCTGCTTAAACACAAAGTAGTTGTCTTGTACTTTTCAAATAAACCCACTCATATAGAAATCGGATACATGGCAATAAAAGCAAATTTGAAATACAAGTTCATATTTGGATTTCACATATATGTCATACATGCAACATATATATTTGTCACTGTCGCCAACGATCTAGCTCGTGAACAGATCACTGGAAAACCACTAATCTGCCAGCAAAAGAGCTACATATTCAGTCATGCACCACTCACACACCTGGCCTAGATCCTAGATGATTGCAAACAGATACAGCTGAAGCTGTTCAGGACTAATTGCACAGACTATATTTACACCTCTCAAACACACACGTTGCTGAGTCTTCTTGAACGGTTAGTGAGCTTTATGGTATATTTGCCTTGCCACATTTTTGGTCCTTGCTTTGATTATCTGCATGATATTTTGACTACAACTCTGGATTGCCCTAATACATCTGTTTGCTCCTGTGCTGACTGTTGCTTGCCTGATCATTCTCTGTTCAATAAAGACTCTGCATTTGGATCCGCATCTCACTTCTTGTTACAATATTGAAATATTGCAAAAATTGTTGCTTATGTGTATGTTTTTAACCATTGGAGCTACAATTGTGCTCATGCTGTATGCTCAAATATATTAGATATAATTACAAATCCATTTATTACAGATCCAACAAAAAATTCATACAAAGCTGAACCCCACCAGCCTGATTTCACCAAGTAGGACATGTTCTATGCTGATTCTGGAATAACATTCCAATCAGCCAATCAGAATTAAGGGATATGTTTACAGTTTGTTAAGTTTAGACTTATGATTATGTTTATGTACTTCTACATGATTGTTATCTGACTATTATTCCCCTCTGATTTTACTGATAATTTACAGTTATAGTTGGGTTTAAGGGTAGAGAATAGTAATGGATTATTTTTTTAACAAAAATGATGACATAGATGTTAATCCAGGATCACATCGTACTTGGCAAAATGATGACGTGCCCCTGCCCCCGCCTCAGAAGCTCCAACCACATCTCTATTAATCCCAGCATTTACATAAAATAATTCAGAAACTTGCCAAACTGGTTTAAAAACCCATTACAGTTTGGGCAGATGACGCTGATTGAAGACTGGAACCTGTTTAAAAAGGCAGCCACCAACAACAACCACACAGACCTCGATGAATACAATGAAACTGCTAGTGCCTTTATTAAAAAGTGCACTAATGATCTTACATTTACCAAGATCATCACCACACCTGCAAACAAGAAGCTGTCCAAATGTCTGTCCAAACAGCTTGACAAGTAGATTTTTTTTTACCATAGGTGCCCTGTTTATTTGTACTGTACCATACTAAAAATCCATGCAGCACTGTGTCCTTACTTGTGTCCGGTCACATTTGCCCTGAGTAGACATTCAAAAACAGTGCAAGTGTAACAGAGGCCAGCTAGTGAAGTGCAGTGCAGGTAAATCTCACTCCTTTGACCTCTAAAGGTGCTCCAAAGGTCTTTAGCCTCCTTGCAAAGGCTGTTTTTTTTCTGCATTGAATGATCGGCGTGACCCATGGCACATGCCTTGCGCGTTGCCTTGCATTGATACTTCTGCTGTTTGTGTTGCTCTGCAATAACACCTCCGAAACACTAGCTAGCGGTGGTTGTTTTTATGTTCCTTTGTGTTGAGTTTCTTCGCTGGTGTTTTGTGTTTTCTAAACGCTACCTTAACGTACAAGTGGCTCAAAGTCGCTCATTCAGAGGCAGGAATCGGTGAACGTGCCACAACTATAATCATAAGGTAAACACTAAACAGAAGTTTCCACAGGACTCAGCACTTGTAAACACTCGTTCCATCGGGCTCGCAGCTCTCAGCCCCACCAACACTCATTCCAGGTACCATGCCCACCAATCACAGAGCTTACGCTACGCATCGTGGTTACATTTTTTGAGAGGTGTGTGTTGGCGTCAGCCTCAGCGAGGGGTATGTGACCATGCAAGGCTGTGCCGAAGCATACGTGTGTGCTTCACGCAGAAATATAAGCCTTTAGAGCAACAGACTCTCATGCAAAGAATCACTGGTTTAATCCTAGCTCAGAGCCGGTTGCGTAGTGTGTAACCGGTGGGTTACACAAGGTTGTGTGTTTGTGTGCACAGTGAACTTTGTAATGGCATGTGTGTGCTGCTCATTCATCATTGCAGAAAAGCTAAAGAAATTCTGCAACATATGCATCAAATAACCATTTAAAATCTTACGGATTCAGTATTACTGTTTTATTTTTGACTTATTAATTGGATCTCTGCTTCATCCATGTTTGAGACACAGGCTGTTTCTTAATGTGCGTTCTTAAGCAATCTTGCTAAGAGGTTGGAGGTAACTTGGCAAGACAGATCTTTACAAGAATACAAATCCATTTTCTTCGTTCTTGAAATTGACAAACAGTGACTGTCTGTGTCTGTTATTGTGCTGTGTTTATCTGAATGTCACTTGAAATGCATGTCGGAACAGTGGACGGTGAGAACCAGCTCATTTTTATTTAAAGGCACAGGTAACAAAAACAGCTACAATTTTGTCCGACCCCAACATTGACATTTCAGCAGGGTTGTTTAAAACTGTTAAAATTAAAACTGGTTTGGAACAACTCGAGGTAAACAAAGTCAGAATGTTCATTTTTGGGTAAATTATCCTTTAAGGTAAGTGTAAAAGGCACAGGGCTGAAGCTATCCAGAATACCCATACTCTGCACCATTATCAATTCCAATTGCCCAAAATCTGGCTAAATCTTTCCACAACTAGCATCAACTCTTCACTAACTCACTATCCTTCAGCTTAGTCCCTGATTTATTTGGGTCGCCAAAGTAATGTAATGTAATGTAATGTGTATTTATATAGCGCATTTATTGTGTACGGCCATACACCCAAATCGCTTCACAATCATGAGGGAGACTCTCCACACCACCACCAGTGTGCAGCATCCACTTGGATGATGCGATGCAGCCACAGGACAACAGCGCCAGTTGATTCACCACACACCAGCTATTGGTGGAGTGGAAAGACACTGATAGAGCCAATTCAGTGGATGGGGATGATTGGGAGGCCATGATCGTAAGGGCTGATAGAGGGACTTTGGCCAGGACACTGGGGTTACACCCCTGCTCTTTCACGAGAAGTGCCATGGGATATTTAATGACCACAGAGAGTCAGGACCTCGGTTTAACGTCTCATCCGAAAGACGGTGCTCACTGACAGTGTAGTGTCCCCTTCACTTTTACTGGCGCATTAGGACTCACACAGACCACAGGTTAAGCGCCCCCTGCTGGCCTCCCTAACACTACTTCCAACAGCAACCTAGTGTTCCCTAGTGGTCTCCCATCCAGGTACTGACCAGGCTCAGCCCTGCTTAGCTTCATTGAGTAGCTAACTCTAGCACATGCAGCAGATGCCCTTCCAGCTGCAACCCAGTACTGGGAAACTCCGATACACACTTTCATTCACACAAATACATTCATACACTACAGCCAATTTTGTCTAATCAATTCACCTATAATACATGTCTTTGGACTGGGGGAAACTAAAGCAGCCTCAACTCATTCATCCAGTCACAAATGTATTGTTCTTACCTCAACTGGAGTATAATGATCATAGATGAGGTACCAGGGTCGTTGTCTGCGTAGCTGTCTCACCAAGTAATTGCCTGGAGGGTAAGGGTGAAAGACTTGTCTCCCAAACACATCCCTGGAATCCCCCATCTCAACTTTCATTTTCTCCATGCATTGTCCCATTCCAACATCCTCAAGTTCTGTGGTGTGCGTACAAAGTCCATCAGCAAACCCCTTCACAAATCTTCTCAAAGCTTCTTTACTGAGGACGTAACCGGCCCCTCCACTCATGTAGCCTTGTGCAACAAAGGGCCTGAAGCGACGTCCAAAATACAGAGGATCCTCTGAGCTGTGTTTGGACAAGCTATGGCGCAAATTCTCAATGACAACAAATGTGTCATCGTCAGCTTTGAGGAACCAATCAGCATCATCCAAATGGTGCTTGTGAATGTACTGGAAGGCTCGTATGGTCTTCCAGTAGAGTTGATTGCGTCCTTCTGACACATTGAGCCCTATCGTGGGGAAGTCCGTGTTCTTCGAGGTCATGTACAAGATGGTGTCGCAGCGTTTGCCCCATGTGGCATGAACGTGTTGGGTTCTGGACTGCAGGTTTTGAGGCTGTGTCATTACCCAGCATAAAACTCTGACCTTCTGGCTTGAATCCAACGTTGCATTTCTGTTCTGAGCTACTGTACAAGAATATAACAGTTTAGTTTCAAAAAAAGTTTAAAGGAACACTTTTCAAAAAACATATTTTGGCTCATTTTAAAAGTCCATTTTTTCAAGTAAACAGCTGCGTTTACTTACCATGACTGTGACAGGAGCAACAATATTACACGGTGCTGTTACCTAGCAGCCAGGGGCATAGTGGACATTTTAAAAGTGGGGGGGACAGCTGTATAAAATCCAAAAGTGTACCTGTTTCTAAATGGTCTGTCTCTACACTGCAAAAAAAATGCTTTTCCTACTTAGATTTTTTGTCTTGTTTCTAATCCAAATATCTAAAAATCCCTAAAACAAGAATGATTTTCTAGACAATCAAAACATATTGCCTATTGTTAGTTTTACCTTAAAACAAGCAAAATAATCTGCCAATGGGGTAAGCAAAATAATCTTAGGTCAAAAGAAAAAAAAAGATTAATTTGCTTACCTCATTGGCAGATTATTTTGCTTGATTTAAGGAAAAACTCACTTAACATTGGCATATTATTTCTCAAAACAAGGCAATATGTTTTGCTTGTCTAGAAAATGCTTCTTGATTTGAGAAATTTTAGATATTTAGACTAGAAACAAGACAAAAAATCTAAGCAAGAAAAGCATTTTTGCAGTATAAAAGTGAGGGGGATGTAGCCCTCTATCCCCCCCGGTTGCTACGCCCCTGCTAGCAGCTGACTATTTTTAGGCACTGTGTGCAGTGGTCCCTTGTCATACAAGTTACATTTTAAAAATAACCCTCGATAGGCGAAATCCATGAATTAGTCAGCTTTATTTTTTACAATTATCATAGATGTTTTAAGGCTGCAAAACCCATCAATAGATTTTTCTCAGACATGCATTAACATTTTTACACTTTTTCCCTTTGTTTAATAATAATAATAATGATAATAAATAATAATTCCTTACTTTTATATAGCGCTTTTCTGGAAACTCAAAGCTCTTAACACATTTTTGGGGGGAATCTCCTCATCCACCACCAGTGTACAGCATCCACCTGGATGACGCGACGGCAGCCATATTGCACCAGATCGCACACCACACACACCAGCTGATTGGTGGAGAGGAGACAGAGTGATGAAGCTAAATATGATATTTGGATGGAGGCCTTGATGGACAGAGGCAAGTGGGCAATTTTGGGCAGGATGCTGGGGTTAAACCTCAACTCTTTTTTTCGACAGACATCCTGGGATTTTTTAACAACGGCAGAGAGTCAGGACCTCGATTTAATGTCTCATTAATGTCATCTCAGGCTGAGCACTCCCTGTTGGCCTCACTAACACCACTTCCAGCAGCAACCTGGCTTTCCCATGTAGTCTAACATCCAGGTATTGACCAGACATAGCCCTGCTTAGCTTCAGTGGGCGAGCATGTGTTGCAGAGAGCTAGCTGCCAGCTCTCAAACTTTAAACACTCTTAAAATTCAGACTTTTGAACAAAAATAAGACTAATATTATAGAACAAAACAAAAATCAAAACCTGTTAGGCGTAAACATTCATAGTGGTCAGTAAAAGGTTCATAAAGCTTTTTAGTTTTTGTGTGGATAATATTGGTTTCGAGTGTAATCTGCAATTTTTCCTGCAGTCACTGATCCAAAAAACTAAAGCAGACTCCATCCTTAAGGGGGTCGCACTTGCATAGTGGGTGTGCCGCACACATGACAGTTGGAAGTAACCGGACGCACACACCGGACGAGCACATTTGCATGTTATTTAAAATGAAGTAACAGCAGAAATTTGAACAGTGTCTTGAGTCATAGCTGGGCACTGCAGACAGCTGCTGATTCATGACGCTGGTGTGCGTGCACTGATGTAAACCAATGTTTATGATTCTAAAATGCACGGTGCTGTGTATGACATCCCCTTCACAGTGGTCTTGCTGCGGACAGTTACAACCCTTTTAACGTCCTTGTTGTAACTCACGCTGTCTGCTATCGGCGATTTATGTTAATTTGGCAAGCTGAAGGCATTCTGTACTGTACAGGAGACACGGGCAATCAGGACGTAGAACACAGAAAGAAAGAAAAAAGTCAAATTGCACTAAAAAACTGAGAGGCCATGAAAGCTAAACTGTGTTATAGCGAGGGACCACTGTAATATCATTGTGCCTGCTGCAGCTATGGTGGCAAAGTTCCTTGATTATTATGCCAGATTAAGTGTAGCCTACAGTTCCTGGCCATATCGAAATAGCAACTTTTCAGTGCATCAACAAAAATATCAAGTTTAAACAGGAAAATTATCAAAACTCATTTTTTCGTACATTTTAAGACTAGTAATGGGGTAATCCATAGGTCTCAAACTCGATTCCTGGAGGGCCGCAGCTCTGCACAGTTTTGCTCCAACCTTAATTAAACAGATCAACTAATCAAGGTGTTCAAGACTACTAGAGCAGGAGTGAGTTGGAAAACAAGTGATGAATGACATTTTTTTAAATCACTTTTATAGTTTTATATTTTGTCAAGCTGATAAAATTCAAAAATATCAACAGCCAATCAGAATCAATAATGAATAAAAAGTATTTAAAGTGTTTGACATCATAACTGATTATAAAAAACAGCATTGTGTGATTGCTAATGTTGATATTATTTGCATTTGTGTTAGGTGTTGTGGATGCTGGTTGTCTTGTCATCCAAAGTCTAGATGCTAAATAGTTATTTTAGCTATCGTCTGTTGATACCAATTTGGTTTATGGTTTGGTTTAATATTGTTATATATTGTCAGTGATGTAGAAATTAATATGGTTATCATAGTTATCCATTTGCTTAGATGCAAATTTGGTATTATTTGATGATGTTTATGCTAACATACAGTAGTTATAGTTATCACTCCTTGGTGTGGATGCTAATATAGATATCAGCATCAAATTTGTGTAGATAATAATAATAATAATATTGTTGTTGTCAGTTGTATCAATCATCTTTTAGTGTAGACAATAATATGGTTGTCACTATTATACATTGGTTTGGATTAAAATATGGTTATATTTACATTTTCAAGTTGTAATTAACATTATTTTAGTGACTGTGCAATTAAATAAATTGTTATTTCGATTCTGAATGCAATTTTGAAGTAACTTTGAAGTCAGTTTTTTATGATTTATAGCTTAAATTCTGTCTTTTCTTTTAATAACTGAAATATCCATATTTCTGTATGCTTGAGGAGAACTATGCCACTTCACTGCACTATATTTTCATAAATACGTAACTCATTGTTTAAAGTTTAACAGAAGTTACTCCTATAAATTTGCATCATGCATCATGGGAAGTCGGAAAAAGTCAGACTACAGATACTGTTTGTCTTACACCAACAATAATGCTTACACTATATAATTTAGCTTCCAAGTGCAGATTAGATCAGTAATGTTAAATAACTGAATTCATATATTTTGAGCAAAACAAACAACCTTTTAAAAAAGTGCACTATGTGATAAAAATAGAAGTCATTTAAAATACAGTTTAAATCATTGTTATAATAATCTTGATGTGCTTTAAAGTAGGACACTAACTTTCACATATTTAAAAACATACTGTATTAAAGCACATGTGATAATTGCAATGGTGTTATTTACAGTACATTTTATTCTTTCTGACAACAAGGCACTTCAGTTTCAAAAGCACTTAATCACAACATCAGTAGTGGTAAGTAGGAAATTTCATGTGAAGGTACAGTAGCACAAACGAACCAGATCTAGCAAATCAAGTTCTTCAGGATTACTTCAAACCCACAGGCATGTGTGAGATTAAGACTGAAACTAAACTCTGCTAAACTGTGGCTTTACAGGAGTTTATTTCGGACACCCTATATTGTAATTGATTCCAACTTTATTAATAACGTATATAATTTTAAAAAAATTGTGCATTTAAACAAAACGGTTTTATTTAAATTTAATGTTAATTAAAATAAGAGTTGGAAATACTTTTACGGATAGAAATGAATACATTTACATTCAAACAAGTTAGTGGAAAAAAAAAATTACAAACTACAAAATTTCAACTAAATTCTATATTTTCAACTAAATTTCTTACTTTTTTTTGTTCAGTTAATATTTTCCCACAATAAATCTTTTGGGCTCATTTTTGGACTGCAGTTTTATATTTTTTGGTAAATTAGGTCCAGTTTTGGATATGGTACTGACATATATATATATATATATATATATATATATATATATATATATATATATATATATATATATATATATATATATATATATATATATATATATATATGCACAAATATATTATTGTAAAGCCTCCTATTGAAAATATTCAATTAAAAGACAGATCTGTGAGGGGTTTATGCTGAGCGCTGTATATATATATATATAAATAAATAAATGTTCTCTCCCCTTTGAGTTTTTTCTTAAATGTTCTTTGGCTTGGAAATGTAGAATTAAAGTCTATAAAAAAACAGCAAAAAAAAAAAAAAAAAAAAGAAAGAAAGAAAGAAAGAAAGAAAGAAAGAAAGAAAGAAAGAAAAAGCCTTTGTCTTACCTGTATGCTTCACTGTAGATATATTTCTTGCTATCCGAACAAAAGAAGATGTCCGAGTCTTTTGGACATGTGAATAAGTTATTGTGAGAAAGATACTCACTGCTACACCACTTAAAAACAAGAAGTTCTGCTTAAATCTTCTCATGTCTAACGCTGTATAAAGTACAAGTTCCTTTTAAGGAAAAACAGATTCTCTTTAAAGCTCTTAAACGTCCTGCCCTAAACACACAGATGAATTTACAGGTTGTGCAACATAGTTTTGCTGCATCAGCAAAAATCAGTGAGTGTAAGCCTGTTATTTTATCATGCTGTTGTGTTTTTATACACAGACGTGAGCAGATAAGATGTCTTTCAATAACCAAGCAAAATATTTCCATTGCTTATTATATTATATTATATTATATTATATTATATTATATTATATTATATTATATTATATTATATTATATTATATTATATTATATTATATTATATTATATTATATTATATTATATTGCCTATTTGAAAATTTCTAAACTTTCTGAATTAATTTGTAATACATTACAACAGACTAATCATTAAAAATATAGCAATAGATAAAATAACAATTGAATGAACAGATGAATGTACATGATTGTAGGCTATTTATTTTTGTACAGTAGCTATATTGAATTGCGCAAGCAGCTTTTGCCGTTTTTCTTATTCGTTTCGGTAAATTTCACAAATCAGAATTTAAATTTGCAAAACTGTATTAGTGCATTTCTCAAAACAAAACAAAACAAAAAATAGCAAAACACCATGAATTACCTGCAAAAGCCAGTCTCTTGCTAAAAAATCCTTAGCTTATCTCTAAAGACTAAAAATCTGTGTCAATGAACATGTCAGTGCCGTCAGAATGACAAGTCCTTGTGTCATTGTGTATTGATAAGACAGTCATTGTTGATAAGACAAATTACTTGTTGTCAATACAGCAGTATACTCTGGAGGGATGTTCTTGTGTAATTTATGGCTACAGTTTTAATTATCAATATATTCTCACTTTTCGGTTACACCTTAGTGTTTGATTGCAAGAGACTGGACAAGATTCACATTTACACCTTTACTGTTTGTACTGTAATTTGTTAACAGGTAATTCCATTACGATACCGAAAAAGAAGGGCCCTGCATAACACAAATGATAAAAACAAAAGTAGAAATTTCATTTGCATCTTAGTTAGAGAAAGTCAATATTCACCTGGAAGCAATACCAATTAAGGACAGATTTTTAAAACAAAATATAAATGTATAAAAAATGGATTATGACAAAATTTTTTGATCACTTGTTCAACCCATATGCATGTAAAGACTTGCAATGAACAAAAACCTAAATGTTGTGATGTTTCAATTGGTTAAACTTACAAACTCAGGTTTAGCTGCCTTGAAAATGTGAGTCAACTCAACTTTGTGGGGCTGTCATGGTGGCGCAGTGGGTAGCATGATCGCCTCACAGCAAGAAGGTCACTGGTTTGAGCCTCGGCTGGGTCAGTTGGTGTTTCTCTGTAGAGTTTGCATGTTCTTGTGTGCGTTTCCTCCAGGTTCTCCGGTTTCCCCCACAGTCCAGAGACATGTGGTACAGGTGAAATAAATAAGCTAAATTGGCCATAGTGTGTGTGTGTGTGTGTGTGTGTGTGTGTGAATGCAAGAATGTAATGGTATTTTGTTGGCTTAGTTAGGCTGGATTAGTTGGTGGTTCATTCCGCTGTGGCAGATGAATGAAGGGACTAAGCAGAAAATGAATGAATAAACTCAACTTAGAGAGATTCGATGTATCCACTTAAGATGTTGTTACAGAATATATTTACCTAAAACACAACATCTTAAGTTGAAACAAAGAATCTCTCTATGTTGAGTTGACTCGCATTTTCATGGCAGCTAGTGAACTTGAGTTTGTAACTTTAACCAAACATTTTACAATGTGGTGGTGAGACTATCGTATAATAACATTATAATACATTTTGATCAGAATTACAATGAAACTTTTTTATGTGCACAAGTGACACTATGATCTGAAGATTGAACCAGTAGTTTTGAGAATTTTAATTTTGATCTAAGAAGCTACCAAAGCGACTGAAAAAAACTGCAATACAAAATCAGAGGCGATAGCGCCATCACCCGACCATTGATTTGAGTTGAATTTATTCCTGAAGAATACTTATTTCTCTGTAAAATTCTATACACTTAGCTGATATTCGACCACGGGAGTTACTTGTGTTTTTCACCACTGTCATATTATGCATGGCATCAGCTATCATATCAAGCTAATGCCATGGTTGAGTTTAACTTATTTGTACATCTATGGTAATATATCTTATTTAAAGAAAAAAGTCAATTTAAGGTATCGTGTCAGAGGAAACAATTATGCATCAAAAATGCCTGTTATTACTTACCAAGTTACCTGTTTTAATGTAAATTAATTCCGACAATCCTTATGCGATGTATCCTACAGGCCAGCAGAGGGCAGCAGCAGCTCCAATAACACACAGCGCTGCGGAGAAGAAACCAGCATGTACACAAGGGCATGCACTTGGTAATAAATTTTATGTAATTACTGTATTTGTATTAAGTAATCTGTCCGTCTCTCTTATAAGCTATGATTTAAGTAGCTCGTGTTCTGGGCTGCTGCAGTGCGTTATTGTGAATCATATCAGTTTCATACAAAGTTCACTGGCAGAAAAGTAGCCTAATGGCAAATCCAGCACATATATCAGCGGTTCGGACTTTGTATAAGAAAATCCTGGTGCTTCACCGATTTCTGCCCATTGACCTGCGGGCTCTGGGCGACCAGTATGTGAAGGATGAGTTCAGGAGACACAAGACTTCTTCAGATGAAGAGGCCAAACACTTCATGGTGGAATGGCAGGTAAGAGAAAGCAAATACATTTTAATTGACACCAGGCCTGTGTATTTTATTTACCCGAATAAATGTTTAATTTCTTTTCAAAGAGTGTAAATTTTAAGCAAATAACGTTAGCTCACCCTTCTGGCGGAGTATATTTAACATGTAATCTACATAACTTGTACTAGACAGCACACAAGTATTTTTTTCAGTGAAGTACTAGCTCTTATTAGTCAGCTGCTGGTGTATTTTCTTTAGGTTCCTGCTTATTACGTTATTATACTAAATATATTATTTATAGCCTATTATAATATAAATGTTTATAAATATATTATTAACGTTAGATACAAGCTGTTATTTATTAGACACTAGGAACCTTTGTAATGATCACTAGAAACAAGTTTTTTTTTAAACTGCTTGTTCTATGTTGGTACTAGTCAGAATGGTCACGGTATTTAATAATAAAAGTTTAAAAAGTACAGTTTAGTGAGGTGTAAATATTCATTCATTAATTTTCCTTTGTCTTAGTCCCTTTAATTTTCAGGGGTTGCCAAAGAGGAATGATCCGCCAGCTTATCCAGCACGTTTTAAACAGCAGATGCCCTTCCAGCTGCATCCCAGTATTGTAAAACATCCATACACAATTATTCACACACACATGCACACACACACACACACACACACACACACACACGCACACACACACACACTACAGCCAATTTTGTGTTATCCAATTCACTTATAGCTCATGTTTTGGACTGTGGGGGAAACCGGCACACACGGGGAGAACATGCAAACTCCACATAGGAATGCCAACTAACCCAGCAGGGACTTGAACCAGCGACCTTTTTCCTGTGAGGTGACAGTGCTAACCACTGAGCCCCAGTGTCACCCGGTGTGATACATAATGTAGTAATTCCATACTGGTTAATAACTAGGTACTTTACTGTAGTTAAATTATTGAAAAACATTACACTGTATGACATATTTATTTACTCAATTATTTATTTAAATAATATTTTTACAATTTTTTTGTGCTTTCATGTAATTTATATTTTTACATTTTAATAAAATTTAGATAATTTTGCTTACATTTTACATTCATCTTATTCTAGCGTATTATATTATTTATTCCAACTTTAAAATGTATTTATTTGTTTTTATTTTAATACTGCATCAATTTAGGTGACGCAGTGGCACAGTAGGTTGTGTTGTCGCCTCACAGCAAGAAGGTCGCTGGTTCGAGCCTCGGCTGGGTCAGTTGGCGTTTATGTGTGGAGTTTGCATGTTCTCCCTGTGTTCGCGTGGTTTTCCTCCAGGTGCTCCAGTTTTCCCCATAGTCCAAAGACATGTGGTACAGGTGGATTGGGTAGGCTAAATTGTCGGTAGTGTATGAGTGTGTGTATGTGTGTATATGAGTGTGTGTGTAGATGTTTTCCAGAGATGGGTTGCTGCTGGAAGGACATCTGCTGCTTAAAAGACGTGATGGATAAGTTGGCAGTTCATTCCACTGTGGCAACCTCAGATGCATCAATTTATCCTGATATTCTCTTTTTTAATATATGAATTAAACGATTTAGAATTAGTACTAATCTTTTTTTGTCTTTCTTCAGCATTTTATTATTATTGTCCCAATAAGGCAGCAAATATAACATATAAATATAATCAGAATTATTACAAAAATACGATTTTTTTCCCACATAGGCCTTTTTTTATTATTGTCAATAAGTAAACTAATACACATTTAAAATATGCAATATTTGTATTATTAACTATACTTTAACTATACTTTAACAGATGCACACAAATTCACCGGCCACTTTATTAGGTACACCTTACTGGTACAGGGTTGGACGCCCTTTGGCTTTCAGAACTCTTTTGTCAATGGGCCCAAAGTGTGCAAAAAAATATTCCCTACACCATTACACCACCACCACCAGCAATGCTTTCATGTTGTTGACACCAAATTCCGACCCTATCATCCGAATGTCACAGCAGAAATGGGGACTCATCAAGCCAGGCTATGTTTTCCCAATCTTCTACTTAGCAGTTTTTTTTGCATGTGTGAATTGTAGCCTCAGTTTCCTGTTCTTAGCTGACAGGAGTGGCACCCAGTGTGGTCTTCTGCTGCTGTAGACCATCCGCCTCAAGGTTGAATGTGTTGTGCATTCAGAGATGCTCTTCTGCATACCTTGCTTAAAGCGAGTGGTTATTTGAGTTACTGTTGCCTTTCTATCAGCTCGAACCAGTCTGGCCATTCTCTTCTGACCTCTGACATCAACCAGGCAATTGCGCTCACAGAACTGCCATTCACTGGATATTTTCTCTTTTTCGGACCATTCTCTGAAAACTCTAGAGATGGTTGTGCTTAAAAATTCTATTAGATCAGCAGTTTCTGAAACACTCAGACCAGCCCGTCTGGCACCAGAAACCATGCCACGTTCAAAGTCTTAAAAAATGCCTTAAATCACCTTTCTTTCCCATTCTGATGTTCAGTTTGAACTGCAGCACATCATCTTGACCATTTCTACATGCCTAAATGCATTGAGTTGCTGCAGTGTAATATGCTGATTAGAAATTTGAGTTACTGAGCAGTTAGACTGGTGTACTTAATAAAGTGGTGTGTGTGTGTGTGTGTGTGTGTGTACACACACACACACACACACACACACACACACACGATATATATATATATATATATATATATATATATATATATATATATATATACTATCAGCGCATGACTGACAAGCTTGACTTGCATGAATTTGTGACATTTAAAAAAAACAACTGCATTGCAAAAAACTGAATATTCAGATATTATTGTATATCATTATCCAGATCGTTAGTTTCCTACAAAAAAAAAAAAAAAAAAAAAAAAACTCCAGCCTTTGCTGGAACCTTCCACTTGATGGCAGCACCATTCTAAATTTTGTATCCTCATGAAAACGTAATGCAATTCATCCATAACCCATAACTAACAAATCCTCCCAAGGAGCACAGTCATTTGCAGACACCATTTGTGGTACATTAATTACCCTGTAATCCAGGATCACCTTGATCTGACTTAATATTTTAATTTCAGTTAAGTTGTTCGTGAGAACTCTGACATCACGCTTATATGAAATGCGCCATGACCAATGCAATGATCCAATTCAACACATGAACTCCACTTCAGCATGCAGCATTGTCTACTCAAAGAGCAAACCATGTAGATCTTTTACTCTAAGGCTGAAAATTTGAGCTTTTTGAGCGATCAAACTCCATAAGATGCGTTACACCTGCAGTATGATTCTATGCCAGCACAGCGGTTGATTGTGGACAAACCTGGCTCTTATTGCATTTTCACAGTCGTGCAGTGTGATTTCAGAGGACGCGATGTTCCTGGATTGACAGTAGCATATATTCTTCAAGAGGGTAAAAATCACACTTTTGTAGGTAATGAGAGTCAGTTTGTCCGTGCGCAGAATGACACGTACACTTCCTTACACAATGGCCTGCAGAGTGTCGGGAAGAAATTCTAGTCTGTTGCTAGTTATTTTCCCTTTGAATGCACACTGTTACAAAACAAAGATGTGGCCATGAAGTACAAAGCAAGTCATAAGTGTCATTTTTGACATTGAGATATATATTATTGAAAGCTGAATAAATATGCATTCTGTTGATGTTTTGTTTAGGATAAAAAAATATTTAGCCAAGATACAACATTAAAAAAATTAATAATAATAATAATAATAATAATATATATATATATATATATATATATATATATATATATATATATATATATATATATATATATATATATATATATAAATAAATTATAGTCAAATATAATTTACTGTCATCATGGCAAAGGGCAAAGATAAAATAAATCAGTTTTTACAAATGAGTTAAACTATTATGTTTAGAAATGTGTTGAAGAAAAATCTCTCAGTTAAACAGAAATCGGGGGAAAAAATAAACAGGGGGGCTAATAATTTTGACTTCAACTGTATATATATATATATATATATATATATATATAAAGAAGAGAGAGAAAATCCTATTTAAAGTTGTCTAAATGAAGTGTAGCAATGCACAATTTTAATCAATTTAAGGTAGGACATTTTTTAAATATCTTCATGGAACATGATCTTTACTTACTTTTTTTAAATGATTTTTTGGCATAAAAGAAAAATCTAACCTTGACACTTACAGTTTATTTTTTGGCTTTTGCCAAAAAATTAACCAGTACAACATAAGACAAATGGTTTTGTCACGCAAGGTCACATATGTAAACCCGCATGTTGTTCACAACCTGTATGGGCCCTATCATACACCCGGCGCAATAAAGTGCAAGACATATTTGCATATGTTTTATTAAAAACAAGTTTAGATTTGTCCCACTGTTGGGTTTTGGAGACTTATGCATTACCATATGGGGCATAAGAATAGGACGTGTGTTTGGATACAACTTAGTGTTTTTACTTCGTAATCATTTAGTTTTGATGGAATTAGAACTGAATTTAGAAATGATTTCAAAACAAATCTTGTGCTTAACAAATAAAATTAAATATGTACGCTAATGGATGTCTTATTAAAGTGAGTTTCCACTGCCAAGCCTTAAAGGGAATGGGAGACGAGACTGATTAGTTTAATGCATTATACTCAAAACACACCCAGAACTCATTAAGAGAAAAGCACAACACTGTTAAACCATGCGCCAGGTGCAAAGCGTATTTTTCTGTCCTTAAAATAGTAAATATGGACTTGGACACTTTTTTTGTGCCATGCGCTTTAGACTTTGCGCCAGATCGAGCCATAAGACATTTTTTAAATACAATGTGATACAAAAGATTTGTGTGTGAAAAGGATTGAAATTTAGCAGTTTGCAGTTGCAGCTAGATTAATAAATGAGTAAAACTAAAGTAGGCTTACCGATAAAATTCAACCAAAAATTCCACTAAGTATTAACATGCCTTATCAGTAGGCCCACATAGAAATCTGCAGATTTTCTGCAGATTTTTAGCCTATCAATAATT